TTGTCCAGCTGCCTATGCCAGGTCCATGCTTTATGGAGGGACTGTGTTCGTGATCCTGTACGTTGGTGACCCTGTTATCCTTCTGTTGTCAGCACTCTATTCGAGAGAAGTTGGCTTCAAATGTATCAGCGCTAGACTGAAGACACGCGCTAGCGCTTTGCGACCCGCGGTCGGCTAGGCCCGCCCGCCAGGACCCGCGTGAGCCAGGTGGCTATGGCTGTTGCTAAGAAGTGCCATCGCCGCGTGGCTTGGGCACAACGTGCCCCACGGTTGCATAGCCTTCGAAGTGGATATTCCACGCTTGGGGTACGGAGTGCACTGTCGCCAGCGTAATTGCCGAAGACGAGAAGAGACCAAAGGACGAAGAGAAGAAGCCAGAGAAGATTATGAAGAAGGAGACAACAAAAGATTTTCAAGGAGGAGACAACAGTGACTAAGAAGGGGCTTGATCACCACCGGGGGACTGTGGTCAGGGAGACACGACGGCGGAGAGGGGGTGCAAACCGGAATCGCGTAGAGGTGTGGAACATCGAGTGGTGGGTGCGCCACGGATGTGGCATACGAGGGTTAGAAAGACACTGCGACGTTGAAAGAGAGCACACAAGAAACGCTTGGAGGAGTGGAGCAGAGGAGTGGAGTCTGCGTCGCGGAGGTCGGCACGAGGAGCATAGCGGGACCCCGCTCAAGAGAGAACTGGCAGCGCGAGTGGAAGCCATCGAGTTGTGGGTGAAATGCTCTTGGAGTGCGCAGCCCTCTCCTTTCCGCCCTCTCCCAACCTCTGCCTGCCCGGCCCCTCTCACACCACTAACCGATCCGATCCTCGTTTGTTTGCGCTCCCACGCCAATAACCGATCCGATCCATGTTTGCTTTCCCCACCCCTGCCTGCCTGACCACTCCCACGCCATTGACCGATCCGATCCACGGTGGCTTGTGCTCCTACGCTTATAATTGATCCGATCCATGTTTGCGAGTGCCAAGGAGTGTGTAGGAGTGGTGAGTAACGGCAACGCTAGTGGTGGGACATATGTTACACTCTCCCCGCTCTTCGATTGATTATCCTCCAAACGACACAAGAGGAAAGTCTCGCATGAGTTGAATACTTTAAACCCGCTCGCTTATACTCCACGCGAGAGGTGAACTCTTTTATAGATTAATAAAACAATGTGTCGATCGATCGCCTGATCGCTTGACCGCCTACCCGCACATCATCCTGTGTCACGGACGTCTGACTCTCATTTAGGGCTGTATGCTTTCGATGTAATCTATGGTTGAAAGCCGGCCGACTGTTCATACGACTGGGCTTGGATCATCAACATAAAGGTTGAAGAAATCGTGACTTGTTTGCCAACCCAAGATCAGGCTTTCGTACAGGGTTGCAGGCTCCTATTGTATCCCGGGATTGATTGATCTGCGAGTGTTTCTACAACCGACCCTCAGTTGTGCATAACGGTCGTGATGAACTCTTTTATAGATTAATAAAACAATGTGTCGATCGATCGCCTGATCGCTTGACCGCCTACTCGCACATCATCTCGTGTCATGGGCGTCTGAATCTCATTTAGGGTTGCATGCTTTCGATGTAATCTAAGGTTGAAAGCCGGCCGACTGTTTATACGACTGGGCTTGGATCATCAACATAAAGGTTGAAGAAATCGTGACTTGTTTGCCAACCCAAGATCAGGCTCTCGAACAGGGTTGCAGGCTCCTATTGTATCCCGGGATTGATTGACCTGCGAATGTTTTTACAACCGACCCTCAGTTGTGCATAACGATCGTGATACATGCCTGGACTCAACACAAACACCCCTCGCCGATCAAACGTGCGCTTAACGACAGTTGTTCCAACCGGCCTTGAATCATCAACATAAAGGATTGGATAATGTGTATGCTGATTGTTTTATGACTGCGCGACAATCGTCAACAACGATCCTGATACAGGTGTAACGAGGACTGTATACAAATATTTCCCGTACAGCATTCGTGTGTTACGACCCGCGCACCATATCACAATTGCGCATACTCCTGCTTGTACGCAATAAGGACAACCAAAAGGGCCGCCAGATGGTACAGCCCTCCCTCCCTCAGGGGGGGATGACTGCCCTCCATCTACGAAACAACGAGATGACTCGGGCCACTACTGATGCGCAAACCGATCGTGTGTCGAGGGGAGGGAAGGACGAGCGGAGGGTGACAGGGGAGCCTACCCAAAACCCGGGAAGGGCTATTGACCCGGCCTGCTTCGACCGAGGATGTGCCAAGGGGTGTTATGGAGGGTATGTCAGGAAAAAGGAAAACCACTCGTACCCCTGGACAAGCTCTGAACACGGTCCAGGCGCCCCCCCTGACGAAGTGTGTGCAGGGGTCCATACACGGGATAGCTGCTCAGGCGCCCCCTCTGACGACGCACGAACAGGGCTCCTCACACGGGACGACGCACAAAAGACCGGAAGCACAGATACGGCAAGACATGGTGACTGAAGAAAAAAAATGCCGTCACAGAAGGGGGCACGTGGAAGGACAAGCTTGTCAATCAGGGCGCCCCTCGCCAGGAAGCGATACCCGGCCCCAGTATATCTAAGAACCCTTCCCCTCAGTTGCTCAGAGCTCTGTCGGCACCAGCAAGAGCTGATGCGATCAGCTCTTCCTCTCTTGACTCGATGGCCCCACTGAAGAGTCACCTCATACAGCAATTGCACATTGAGCCAGAGAGGAAATTTCAAGTCAGAGATGGTTTCATCTACCCCCACTCGATATTCCCTGCACAGGCAAAAGCAGCTAGGGATGCTATCTACTCCCACAAAGCAGTGCACTTTCCATTTCAGTCCGCCCAATCGGAGATACCGATCAACGACAAGCTCAAATGGATTGCTGATGTACTGGGTAAAGTCATATCGGACCGCCAGTTGGAGCATGACCATTTCCTTATAGAGGTAGATAACCCGGAATGTATTACTGTTGTCGCCCTCTACCCTACGGACAAGCATCTCATTTTGAGAAACAGAGGTTTGCGGTTCAGGGGATACCCTGTGCAGTTGTCAGCATGGTCTCCGATCAACCCACAATCGACGGACGAGAGGAGACAATACCTCATGTCCTCCAACTTTTGAGTGGAATTCGGATTTGCCCCGCTCACTGTACAGGGAGCGATACTGACAGACTTGGAAAACATAGCCCCGGTTAAAGGATATATCACAGAGTTGCCTCAATTTCTGGAAAAAAAAGACGATTCGCTCCTTGTAGCAGTGGAATGGAATGGGATCCGTAATACCCCTTCCCCCTCAATGACGAATGGCGCTATTCTCACGGAGGTAAGGAATACTCTGTACCCGTCAGCCATACCCAGGATCCTTGGTGCTATGCCTGCAAGCACAGTGGACACCTCAATACTGATGAGACATGCCCAAAGAATAGAGGCAAGACCAAAATCAAAGGGCTTGTAGTCCCCCACCCCGATGATGAGGAATGGTGGTATCATGAAGAGAGGGAGCTGGAAGGTTGGGTGTTTAGGGCGTATGCAGACGGTACCCCGGGGATATGGTTGTGACAGGGCACTGACAAGCCATGGGCTTTCCCCTCCGGGGCCAGGGTGCAGATAGACAACGACACCAAATTTAAAGGGAGGCAAGAGCCACACCCAGAAGTGCACCCTGCCCCTGCACATCGCCCTAATCAACCCCGACCCCGACARAAATACCAGCCCAAAGCRAAGGGCACTCTGGAACCTGGTTCTGAAATCCGAGATGGGAACCGGGGCAACACAGTTGTGCATTCCACGCTCCTTAAGACTACGAAGGGCGCCAACGGCCGGCCAGCAGATGGTCAGGTCTCACATAAAAGTGAAGAACCGAAACCGCCCCCCCCCTCCGATACCACGCTGGACTCAGGCCAGAGCAAGGTTCATGCGCCGGACCAGAAACAACGAAGGCAGGATCCCTCCCCTTCACCGCAGCCCATGGCGAACTCGGACTGCACAAACGTTAAGACACAGGCTCGAAGGGAGATTCGCTCAGACCACAATGGTCTTAAACATGGTGGACAAAATCCTGTACCCTCCCCAGTGGCCGCATTGGATAAACAGGGTGGACAACATCCCACTCCTTCCCCACAGTCTGAGGTGGATGTGGATCCCCTCAACAGTGAGAGCCCGCACCAGGAACAGGGTGTGCAGGACAGCACTGTTGTGCATCCCACGCCCCTGAAGACCACAGAGGGTGACAACAGCCGGCCACCAAATGGCCAGGTCTCCGAGGGAGAGAAAAATAATTGTCTGCCCACCTGCCACAAAGGTCTGGGAGCTCAAGGCCAGCGGGATCCACTCCGTTATACCACGCTGGACTCGGGCCACAGCAAGGTTCATGCGCCGGACCGGAAGCAGCGAGGGCAGGGTCCCTCCCGTTTACCGCAGCCCATGGCGAACTCGGACTGCGCAAACGTTAAGACGCAGGCTCGAGGGGTGATTCGCTCAGACCACAATGGTCTTAAGGCCCTGAGCCCTCACCAGCTAGCGCGACTTCCCTCGACGACACCAGAACACAGGGATGAGACTCAGAACCACACACAGAGAGGACAAGATCCTATACCCTCCCCGGAGCCCACATTGGACAAACAGGGAGGACAGGATCCCACTCCCTCCCCAGTGGATGGGTCCTGGAACCACAAACAAGGTGGGCAAGATGCTGTGCCCTCCCCAGAGGCCGCATTGGACAAACAGGGCGGACAGGATCCTACTCCTTCCCCAGAGCCTGTGTTGGATGTGGACCCCCTCAATAGTGAGATCCCGAACCAGGAACAGGGTGAGCAGGAACGACACCGCCCAGTACTGAACCAGAAACAGAGAGAACAGGAACAACACCACCCACAGCTGAACAGTCATGGGATGATTTCCTGCATGGACTCCGAAGGGCCAGCAGGGGAGGGCCAGGCGTTGATCCTTGCGCAAGAAACGTCTGAAGCGCAACATAATAGAGGAAAGCTAAAACCCCGGTCACCACAACAAATGTGGCTCAAAGCCAATTCATTTCTTAACAAAATAAAAGGTGCAGCTTTCCCTCTCCATCGGGGCACCGACAAGGAGAATGACAAACATCCTGCCCTACAGCCACCAACATCCACCACTGGCAGCCCGTTGTATAAACCCTGCCACACAGATGGTGAGGTGGACCGGGATTTGGACGCAACTGGGCAATCTGCAGCAGACAAGTCAAGAATGGCACCTCACGTGAGAGAGGTAGTCTCTCTGATTACAGGGGAAAAAAAGTTCCTCCCAATCAAACAAAGAAGCATTGCCACTCCCAAACCTGCCCCCGGACCTGCCCCCCGACAATCGATCATACCTGCGATAGAGGAACGACACTCTCTGGAATGTACCCGACTTAAGGGTCAGGTCGAGCCAACTGCTCTCCTGCAACAGCACCGGTCAACAGACCGATTGGAACAGCAGCAACCGATGACCCAACCGTCACAATTGCAACTGGAACCAGTGAAGCTACACGCTGCTGCAACTGCTCTCCCGCAACCGTACCATGTCGAAGATGGATTGGGACAACAACCGCGAACCCTCCTGTCACACCTGGAACTGGATCCGGGAGAGTTGCACCGAGACAACCCTCCGGGGCAGCAATCTCGAGACCAAGCTCGACAGCAGTGTCCTCCCCAACTGTTGACCCAAAATCAAAACAGGGGGGATACCCAGCAGCAACCGCACCAGCAGCAACGTCAGCAACTGTTGTCGTCCCTGGAGCCTCTCGAGGATTACTGCATGGAGGATGTACAGCCGCAACAACACCAATTGTTGACGCACCAGGGAAAACAACAGCCACATATGGGAATGCCTCAGCCTCCCGGGGACCACCCGGTGGACTACACACAGCAGACGGAAGACCGCACTCACCACACATACCAACAGTTGACACACCAAGGAGACCAACAGCCTCAACTAGAAATGCCTCTCCTGGGCCAACAACAATTGCACACACTGAAACTTGAGCAGCAGCTCTAAACATGGCAACACGAACAACAGCTGTTGGCATGGCACGAGCAACCCCCGAGGCGAGACCAGCATAGCATACACCATGCACAAATCCAAGTGCTGAACCAAACGGCACAACAAGCTCATCACTTTCAACAACAACAAGCCATGCAACAGAGAGTCTACGAGGAGCAGTACCACCTCCTATTGCAAGTTCAACTCGCACAATATCATCAACAACAGTACCAACAGAGGATGATACAACAACAACAGTTCCTCCAACACCTGCACTTGCATTGGCAACAACAATTGTGCTGCCAACAACAGCAAGTCCTGCAGCAACAACAGGAACAACTACAAATATATTGGCAACAGCAAATCGAGCGGCAAGATCACATGCCACAAGCCGAGGAGCAAATGTTGCTGAGAGGTGCAAGGGAGAAGAGCCCGCAAACTGAAGATGGTCAGACTCATGACATGGATATCTCGGCCCCCGACGTTACAAAAGTCCAACAGCAACAGTTGCCGACCGATATGGACATCCAACTCGTGGTGCCTATGCCACCAGGACTATTCAAAGATAGCTCGCCTCCCCCTCCTCCTCCGCTGGCCGCCAATGATGAGGTAAAACAAAAATTGGAATTCCTCACGGAATGGACCTTGGTCAAAAAATTTTCACTATCGGAGGACAGCCCTGCGGACAGGCTCAACAACAAGCAATGGGAGGAGGCGAAAACTATCCTTATGTACAACCCTCGAGTCTTGGCAACTGTTGAAAAATATGACAGTGTGTCGGCTATAGATTGGATGGATGTCGGGGCCGCAATTGTCCTAGTAGTTAATGAATTTCTTGACAAAATGGAAGAATATGCGAATAGGACACTCGAGGCAGAGAAAGTGACCCCCGACCGCAATCCGACGCACTCACAATCCGAGGCCTTTTGGCACGAAGGCCTTGCCTGGCCTAAAGTGCTCATTCAAGAGTTGTGTGATACGCTGCACGCCCTCCCTCACTGGAGCTCAAAGGAGGAAGGAAACGATCAAATCTGCACCACCCCTGCACGACAGATCTTTCCTGACTCGCAGATAGGACAATATCTTACCCTGCAGCCCGGGAGTCCATCTGCCCGCGCCGACCAGGTAACAGAGATCAGACCCAAGAGGGTGGGCCAGTTGGTGAGGCTGGAGGTCAACGATGAGCTCCCGGCTGCCATGCCTTGCGGACTTGTCATCTTTCCCCTGACCAGAGTTAAGAGCGCAGGACAGTAGGTGCTTGGACTTAGGCCGCCACAACAGCTCCCTCCCGAGCCCCGACCTGAGTTCCCGGACAGACTGACGCAAGAGGGATTGAAGGGGAACCCGTCAAATGCGGTCATTCTGAAAAGACTCAAATACTGGGCTAGGGAGACAAGTACGGAAGGAGTGAAGGGGGTGGTCCTGCCTACCTCTCTCTCACTCCCACAAGACATTATTCCCGCCATTCTGCTCATCGATCCCAAAATCAGACTACAGAAACGGGCAAACTTTAGCTGGTTTACACATCGACAGCTAATGGAGTTCAGCACTGACCGATTCACAACCGGCAATGCTTGGACACAATCTGAAGTCCTCACCCTTATGCAATTGTTTTTGGAGGACAATGTGCTCCAAGAACAAAATCAGTGGGACGATCCCCCGGCTGTCCTCCCCATCAAATTGATTGGCTGAGAAACCAGCGTGCTGGGTGCACAATAAGATCTTAATACTGTTGCACTATGATGGGTCCAACCAACCCAATGACCGGCGAACACACAAGCCACACACTGATTCAACCCCGGGCAGACAAGGACTTACCGTCTGCTGCTGGTTCGGCTCACCCTGTCCCCCTCATTGCAGCTTCCCCGCCCGCCCAACAACAACGGTCCTTTCCACCCCTGCGACCACCCTCCCCTCCTGTGTTTCCCCGGATCGGAAACCACCCGCAGTGGGCGGTCAAGCTAGCGAGGGAAGATATAGACATCCGATCATTAAATGTTAACGGCCTCATTCAAGCAACAAAAAAAAAATGCTATATGGGATATGATCAGATCTCCGGTTTTTGGCGGCTGGCCTGATGCGGTGTGTATTAAGGAAACACACCTTCGGAACACACCCCAACATGCAGCGAAAGTCAAATTCATATGGCCCTACACATGCTACTCGACGCCAGCAGTTGACAGAGCGTCGGCCGAGGTTGCAATATGGCTCCCACCCTCCTCGAAACTCAGACAGTTGTCGGTGCAACACGACCATCAACATGGTCGATGGGTGAGTCTCAAAGCTGCTTATGAAGAAGACGAATTTTACTTAGTTAATGTCTATGCACCAAATGACCCTGCCGACAAGATAGATTTGTGGCTTGCCCTGCTCCAACATATACCAAAGGATGCCCCCGTCATTATGATAGGGGACTTCAACACCACGCTGGACCCGGTGATGGATCGTAGGTCGTCCTCCCAAAGGGAGGATTTGGACCTGCCCTCGTTGTCGGAACTAAGCCCAGACATACTGATGCTTAAACAGCTAATGGCGGACAGGGAGCTCGAAGATGCCTACAGAATACTGCACCCTGCCCAAAAAGCCTACACATGTTTATCCTCCAGAGGCTCTCGGGGCTTCGCCAATTCGCGAATAGACCTTGCTTTGGTTTCGAAGGAACTGATGGGCGCGACCACGACTGCTGAGATAGCAGCAATTAGCCCTTGTAAATCCTTTGACCACCGCATGATAACTTTGGGCCTTTCTTTCCACAATCAAATCAAAAGAGGACCGGGCTTTTACAAGTTAAATACGTCGCTGTTGCAGCTCACCAAATTCAAGGAAATGGTGAGGGAGTTTTGGAAATACTGGCAGTCTACAAAACCGCAACCAGAGGCGCGTCAAACCGTCACATGGTTTAATAACGGGATTGTCCAATTAAGAGACAGAGCCAAGAAATTTTCCACCCAGACAGCAAGAGACCGCAAGGCGATAATCGACCGCCTTATGCGGGACCTCGAAGAGTGGGATGAGTCCACCACAGAGAACCCTCAGCTCATCCCGCCATTTGAAAAACTGCAAGAGGCAGGAGATCACCTCCAAGCCTACTTAGAAAAGCAGTCGCAGGCATGGAGGATACAAGCAAGAATAAGAAGAGAACACACTGAGGGAACGATGACGAAGTCCTTTTTTAATAAAGCAAAAGCCCGTGCACGGGCTTCGGCCGTGCCAAGGCTCAGACACCCCCTCGACGACAGAGCTCCGGTAGCTACGAATGCTTATGCAATCACTGACTACGCCGCCAACTTTTACAAGGACCTGTTCACATCAAGTACCCCCAATAAGAACCCCGACGAAGTACGGGAGGCCAGGGACGAGCTGCTTTGCGTTGTGCATTCACGCTTAACGCAGGAACAAAAAGCAGAATTGGACAGGCCTCTCGTGCTAGAAGAGATATGGGAGGCCTTACAGCAAATGGACGATGAGAAAACTCCCGGAATCGACTCCTTCCCAAAGGAGTTCTGGCTGACATTCTGGGACCTCCTCAAGGATGATCTGATGGACTACATAAGGTCTGTCCGAGAGGAAGGCTCTTTTGGGGGTGTGATCGGTCAAGGGGTGACAACGCTTCTTTATAAAAAAGGAGACAAAGAGGATATTAGAAATTACAGACCCATCACTCTCCTCCCAGTCCCCTATAAACTGGTAGCGAAAGCCCTCACCACTCGCCTGCTGCCGTTTATGAACTTGATTATCCACCCTGATCAAACAGGTTTTATGCCAAATTGCAATATCCAAGATAGCATTCTGCTGGTCAACAAAACTATCAAATATGCTCGCCAGCGCAGAGCCCAAGCAGCCATACTATTCATAGATTTCGAGAAAGCATATGATCACGTCAACTGGGACTTCTTAGACACGTGCTTGGCAAAAATGAACTTCGGTTCCCAATTCTGTCAATGGGTGCAAATCCTCCACAGATCGGCCACCACAAACATCATGCTCAACGGCCACCTCTCTGCCCCAATTCGACTGCAGAGATCAGTCCGCCAAGGGGACCCCATCGCACCACTGCTGTTTGTCATAGTCATGGAGGCTCTGGCAGCGTTGATCCTGGCTCACCTGAAAATAAGCAAAATACCAATCCCAGAGATACCGGAGCATCTTATTCCGATGACCTCACTCTTCGCGGATGACCTTACGGTCCTCATACGTGCGGATCGGGACAGCATGTAAGCCCTGACCCAAACTATACACCTCTTTTCACTGGCGGTGGATATGAAAGTAAACTGGGGATCGAAGACAGAGGGCTGGTGGCTTCATCCTCATGACGTGCCTCCACCACCGGTCTCGTGCGTAGCATGGGCGAGGAAAGAAGACGCTATCAGGATATTGGGAGTAAAGCTAACGGCTATGGGACCCCCGGTGGACCATGGAGACAACCTCGTGAATATGGCCATCGACCATATGGCGAGATGGGAGGGACTGCACACATCATTGGTTGGACGGCCGCTGGCAATCAATAACGCCATCCTTGTAGCTATATGGTACAAATTGGCGGTGTGGCCACTGACAACACATCAATACACCAAACTGCGTAAAGCGCTTACATCATATCTATGGAAGAACAGCGCCAAGGCGGAAAGGTGACTAAATAGAGTGTCTTGGGACACCCTCACACAACCAAGATCTGTTGGGGGGTAGGGGATACTAGACCCTCAGAGGGAGACCGAGGCTATGATGTTCAAAGTGCTTACCAGACTCCTCGTAGGAAACAACATTCCATGGAGACCTATGGCCTGTGTGCAAATAGGGGGGTTGGCGCCGGAATCGGTGCCCTCCGATCACGTTCACCCGTTCCAATGGCTGACAAATAAACACAGGACGATCCCGAGTCCTCGCCGCCACACGCAGGCAGTTGGCACATCACGTGCCATCAGAGAGGACATTCACAACGACCCCCTTTGGCCCAATATGATTAAACTGTGGAGGACGCGAGACCCTGATCAAAAGCGCGCGCCCAACAGGTGGCACACAGTGAGGAGGCAGCCACTGTTTGGAAACCTCTTCATCCTTGATGAGGATGGAAACCCCTTTGCGCTCACTACCAACTCACCGTGGCTAGTCTGGGTAAAAAGAGGAATCTATACAGCGGGTGACCTCTGGGACCAGGTCGAACAGAAATGGCTCTCGATGGATTGTTTACTCACTAAGCTGAAATATGTGAGGAACATTGAAGACGAGGCTCACCAACTCATCGATGCCCTGCCATTGGCCTGGCAGCAGACTCTCAAAACAGGGCCGACGATCCAGCCGCAAGACTGGGTGGTCAGATATGTGGACCTGCCATGTCCACTGAAAGTTTACAGGGTCTGCAACAGAACCTGCGGGAGCTGCAAACTGGAAGCCTTTGGCCTGCAAGCCCCGGGGATGCGGCTGTCCCACCTGAATCGAGATGAAGATTCCAACATTACAGAGTCATGGGTGGGACTAATAAATGTCCGAGTTGTGGGGGACCGAGACAATGGATTTCAAGTGTATGAGCCGTCCACACCCATTGCTCTGCTTCCCTTCGATCCGGAGGAATGGAAATGGACGAGCCAGCAACACTTACATATCTGGAACTATACGGTCAAAGGGGGGTACAAGGCAGCGCAGCCTCAACAGCAGATAGCCGACACGATCGTACGTAGATGGGAGCGGGACTCACCACTTGGACCGCGCTTGCCGCATACCCTCCCCTGGACCAAATATGCTAAACTCATGCCCACGAACCTTAGGTCCCTGCAGTGGCAAATATTACATCGGTGTCTCCCAACCCCCGACTGGATTGTGTCCAGAACAAATCTAGAGCAAAAAGGTATGTTATCCCCCATCTGCACGTACTGTTGGAGGGCCACACAGCGTGCCAGGCCAACTCTTGAGCATTGCCTGTTGGCTTGCCCGATGGTTGCCCAAATATGGACGTGGTGGGATGCGGCGTTCCACGCGCTAACGGACCAGCACATACCATGGGACATTGGTCTCCTCCTCCTGGGCGAAAATCAACAACTGCTTGCAAACTGGTCTCCGTTCGTGGTTAACCTCTTCTCATACATGAGGCTACATGTCCTCATGCAAGCCTGGAGAACAAGGTGCTCCTATGAGAGAAATGACCACCAGTTTGGATTTCAAAAAGCGCAACAGGAGATAGAGGATGAAATTAGATCCCGGACTCAAACTGCATGGAAAACCATGTCACATGAGTACTACGAGGAGAAGGATGCAACCCTCAGGCCCTTAAGTGCAGGGGGGATCAA